TGAAAAGGGGAGGAGTTAACTTCCAAACGGAATAAACGGCTCGAACGACAAGCTTCCAAACGGCATTTCACAGACGCGTTTGGGAGCTTGTCATATAACAATAGTAAACGTGTTTGACCCGTTTCTGTTGTTGGGGATAATTTGTAGATCACGCCTTAGTCACTATACTTAAAGAAGCTCTTAAAATCGATTACAGTATATAAAAAAACGAGAAAAAAAAAAAAAACATTATGTAAGAGATACAATTACACTATCTGCTCTCTCATGTTATTAAAACAACAAACCCCATAATCTTACTTGTTATAAACTCGCGAAGTGCAGCTTCAGTTGTACAGTATGTTGAGGAAATCGTACTTCTGCTTCCTGCCAAGTTAGCATTTTTGTGGTCTTTAGGAATTTCTTTTAATATCCTTTAGTAGTTTTGTATTCCGTGCATCCTGCTCGGCCTCTTTTATAGTCCGATTACCGTCTGTCACTGATGTTAAGACAGTGAAACTATCTTCATCTGACAGACCTTGCAGGTTCATGAAAAACTAAATATGGAACTTATGTGTAAATTGTATTTGAAAAAAAAAGTTCTTGTTATTATATATACTTTTTCTACTAATAGGTTCCACTAGATCAAATTTTGATTGTAAACCTATTTTGTTTTCTGACTCATTTGCTTCTCAGGAATATTTACGCTATTGCATTAATAGTCTTGAGTGCTTATGTACTTACCGACTGTTTCAATTGCTTCCCTGGTTTGGTATTTTTAACTAAGCCATTACGGTACATATGGAAAAGTTCTTTAACTTTCGCATAGCAGCGGTCACTGTATAATGCCACCTGAAATGTCGGCTCCATAGACGATATTACCTGTAACAAAATAAATGATGCAGGTAATAATAATAATAATATTAATGATAATAATAATATCTTTAAAGAATATAATAATCGTAAAAATCACAATAATAAAATATAAAAATAACGATGATTATGATAATGAAGATGACGTTAATAATAACAATACCTTCTTCTCAAAACTACTCTTGCCAATGGCCTCGGCGCACTTCCTTCTCCATGTAGACGTTGTTTTACTATCAGACCCCCTTTTTTTTTTCTTTTGGCACAACGGTTTTTTTCTTTGCATCATTTTCTTTCTGCTTTAGGATCTTTTGTACTTGTTTTTTCTATTCCTCATTCTCTTTTTCTTTTCTCTTTCTACTTTCCTGGCCTCTTTTTCAGCTAGTTCACGTTTTTTTTTTCTCCTGCTTTTCAACTTTTCAAATCACCTCGCGTTGCGATCACCTATCTTCACCATAACAACAAAGATGGCGCCACCCTCGCTTGTGCTCAACTATAATAGTTCTCCAAAGAAAGCAAATTTTCGGTGACTGCTCAATTTCTTTATAGTAATATGTTAACTAATATAATAACTAATATAGTTATTATTATAGAAATTTAATTAAGTCAATGATGGTCTATTATGAATTATGCCAGTCATCTTCAGTTGAACTATATCTAGGACTTGATTCAGTGGTAGTTAAAACTTCGACTATTTTGAATACATTTGAAATTGAAGTTTCAACTAGCACTAAATGAAGTTCTTGTTTGAAATTCGACTAA